ATGCCCATGGTCAAATCATCCCTTTATGCAGCCCTGTTGGGTAAAGCAAGCTCAGATTCTCAGACCCTGAGTAAGTTCTCACTAGGAAATCTGTGTGAGTCTCCACAGTAGAGGGAAGGGAGGATGCTGTTGGGATGTATTGAATGACAGAACAAAAAATAAAAAGATAAATGAAAAAAGTTAAACAGAAATAAAATTCAAAATAAAAATGTCAGAAAGTCAAACAAAAAAACTTTAGAAGAAACACACAAGCTGAAATAATGTTGCATATGAAAAATGAAATATAAATGAAAATAAAAACACAATGGAGAGCTGGAAAGATGGCTAAGAAGTTAGAAGCTTATACTGCTGTTGGAGTGAACACAAATCCAGCTCTCAGCACCCAAGCCAAGCACCTCACACTGACCCTAGCTTCACGGGTATCTGAAGCCTCTTGTCTGTGCAGGTACTGATAGTGACACACACATATGCACACATAATTTAAAAATAATAAAATGAAGATAACACCTCAATAAAAATCCTCACCAATAGAATGGATCATGTGGAAAATAGAGTAACAAGACTGGAAGACAGGCAGAGGAATTATACTACTCAGTAAAATACAGTGATACATTTACAAACATCTATGAAGGGAACATTGGAAAGCTTTGCAATGACATAAAAAGACCCAGCCTTAGAAATATGGGCCTAGAATGGCAATACCAAAGGAGCAGAAAATATTTCCATTAAAGTTATATTAGAATTTTTACTATGCCTAGATAAAAAGATCCCCTTGCAGCTATAAGAGGTCAAAAAAGTCTAAATAGGCAGAATGAGAAAAGATACTCTCCATGACACACTATAGACAAAACATGAAAAATGCAGAATAAAGTACACTGAAAGTTGCAACAGAAAAAAATCACTTACAGGGCAGGTCTATTAAAACAACATGGGAGTACTCAACAGAAAAATGTAAAGTCAGAAGGACTAAAAAGATTAATTCCAAGTCCTGGAAGATTACACCTGTCAACCCAGACTATTATGCCCAGTAAAACAATCCATTAAAAATAAAGGAGAAATAAAAACCTTTCAAATAAAAGGAAATCAAAGTAATTAATGAGTGATGAGTGGACTCCACCTAGATACTGAAAGAAGTACTTTAGTGTATAGAAGAATACATATAGCCAAAGTGTCATTGGAACAAAAAAAACTGCCAGAATTATTAATCACAAGTGAGCAAAGAAAACATCACAAATCAACAAAATTTTAGGAACTAACACATATTTTTCAATAATAATTCTGATTAATAGTCTCAATAGTAAAATGAAAATATACAAGCTAGCCAGCCAATTAGAAACAAATCTAAGCAAAAACCAGGATCCATCAATTTTCTATCATTTAGAAACACATCTTCCATAAAAGATAGTTTTAGATATGGTAAAATGACTGAGAAATGTGTTCCAAGGAAATTAATCTTTTTGAATAATAACTAAATGTAACTATTCTAATATATCATATAATGTACATTGTAGATGTAACCAACTGTCTTATTAAATAAGAAACACAGAGCCAATTCAGAGAAGAAAGCCAAGAGGTCAGAGCTAAGAGCCTCACCCTTCCTGATTCAGCAATCCTCTTCAGCCAAGAGAGCTCTCCGAAAAGGAGCTACTTCCTGTGTGTTTGTCTTTATAAAGACTTTCGGTTCTGCCTTCTCATTGGTTGTAAACCCAAACACATGACTGCCTCGTCACTGCCTGTCTGTAGAGACTTCCAGGTCTTCTATGGTTGGGATTGAGATTAAAAGCGTGTGTCTTCAATGCTGGCTGTATCCTTTTACACACAGAGATCTACCTAGCACTGTCTACCAAGTGCTGGGATTAAAGGTATGCGCCACCACCGCCACGCTCTTGCTATGGCTCTAATAGCTCTGACCCCCGGGCAACTTTATTTATTAACATACAATTAAAATCATATTTCAGTACAAGTAAAATACCACCACAGTACATTCAGCCAAAACTAGTCAAAAGAGCCAAACAAGGTCATTTCATACTCATCAAAGGAACAATACACCAAGAGGATACTATAAATCTAACATAGAATCACCAAACACAGGTGCATCAAACTTCATAAAAACTTGTAACAGAATGAAACAACATATTAAACACAAAATAGTAATATTGAGTGACTTAAGGACAGCACTATCATCAATAGACAGTGCAGCCAGACAGAAATTAAATAAACAATGAATAACTGATACCGTGTACCAATGGACCTAACAGATATCTCTGGAATTTTCCACCCAAACAGATACAGATTCTTCTCAGTATTCTATGAATCTTTCTCCAAAATTGATCACATACCAGGACACAAGGCAAGTCTCTACAAACAAAAGAAAACTGAAATAATGTTCTGTATTTCATTTGATCACAATGGAATATTAACAGCTGTTAAGCATAATTATTTAGAATTCAAATAGAAATCACATTGGTTTAGGGAAATGGTAGTATTAGCTTCCCTTCTAGAGTCTAGAGTCTACAAACTCTGAAGCCACAAGTAATTGGCTAGATTTACAGATCCAGGCATAAATTCACTGCCATTTTATGGGATTTAAGTCCAATTAGACAGCTCTTGGTTATTCCTCAAATATAAATGCCATTATTGCACCATTGAGCATCGCTGGATGGACTGGTCGTTAGGGTCCACAGGGCTTCTCAGCTGGGTTGGACTACTGAATTGCTTTACTCCCTTGACATTTCAACAATACCTTTTAATAGGATGAGAGATAGTATTCGGTGTGTGTGTGTGTGTGTGTGTGTGTGTGTGTGTGTGTGTGTGTGTGTGATAGTGTATGTACTTGTTAGTGTGGGTGTTTGAATATATGTATGCAAGTGTGCATGCATGTGTATACATATATGTGTGAAGACCCGAGGCTGAAAATGAATGTCTGTCCTGGATCACACTGAATCATCAATTTATCTAGATTGTCTAGCCAATAAACTTCAAGGATCCAGCTGTTTTCTTCACCTCACAACAATCCTAGTACTAGAGTTATAGGCACATGCATTATGTTCAGCTGTTTATGAAAGGAAATTTACTGACTGAGCCATTTTATCTGCCTATTTTTATCTTGATTTATATATGTCAGTTTCCATTATTGTCTCAATTTTGTCCTCTAAACAGAATTCTTGCTCTTGTCCTTCCAGGTGTCTGGAGTCTTTGAACACTACTTCTTCCTGTGCCTGAAGTCAAAATGGCAGCACAATGTATATACTTTTGGTGGCCTATTTTGTTAGTTAATTATCCAGTTTTAAAAATACATGGTTTCAACTGACTAAAAATATTTTTATATTAATTAAGCGCATTGTATTTACAGTAGAGATAAGAAATGAGTCTTTGGCGGGAGAGAAGGCTCGGGAATAAATTGTCATGCAAACATGATGACCAGAGTTCAGACCCACAGAATCTATATAAAAAACTGTGTGTGATGGCATACATCTGCAACCCCAGCTCTGGAGGACAGGGCAGGCACAAAGGTAGAAAATCCAAGTCCAGTGGATATTCATTCTAGTTACAATGGTGACATTCACGGCTATAGATCATCTCAAACTAACTCATGGTATAAAGTGACTGAGAAAGATGCTATAAGTCATCCTCTGGCTTCCACGTTTATGTGCACAAGCAGGTGTATCCACAAATATACACCCCACACACACATGCAGACACACATGCACATAACAAACAAACAAGAAACAGATCTATAAATATAAATTCTATGATTTATTCAGATATTATTGAACTTCTCTGTGTTAATCAAGACTATAAGAAGGAACCAAGTGTGTCTTTTGTCACACTGTGTCTGTTTTATTAGTTTCTTCTGTGTAGAAAGTCAGTTTTCATGTGCCCTAGAGAGTGCTTTTGATTTTACAAAGGTTTGATGAGTTCACCAATTAATAATTTTTCCCTTCTTTCCATGTTTACTTCATTCTATTTCATTTCATTTTTTTCTTTTTTTCTGCATCATGACACAAAGTATCTTACTGATGATAGAGACTTCTGATCTCCATGGAATATTTTTGGAGACACTGTCTGCCCAGCTCTTTGGTTTCCATCCTCATGGGAAAATTTCATTCTGGATTCATTCCAGGCCTATTTACCACTAGAATCAGTGAAATAGTACAAGAAAAATGTAAATTCATGAAACATGACATTAGGATATCATCTAGAAATTTTGCTATTGTTTGCTAATGCCAGCGAATCTGAGTCAGGAACTGAACATTGAGAAATTACAGTCAGTGATGCAGAAAAACTTCAGGCTAATGGAAGGTTTGTTTCTATCCATATTTCTGTGTACTCCTAAGCATACTAGAATTTATGTATAGTGTTTACCAAAATAATAAGAAAAATTCTCACTGACTTCTTTTACCTTTTATTTCTAAACCGTGTTTTGAAAATTCTGCTAAAATCAGGAACTTCTTAATGTAAACTATGGATTTAAAGAAACTTAATTATTTAGTTAACAGCCCTTGCTAGAGGTCATTTTTTATCACTTCTCTAGTTTGAATATTAATCAGTTATATAGCTGTTAACCTTTGTATTCAAGAGGGTCAACTATTACATATATATATATATATATATATATATATATATATATATATATCAATCTTACTCTAATATACTTTTAAAGGCTCAAAATGTGCTAACATATGAAAATTCATCATGTTATTCTAGTATCAATAGAGCAATTATAAGACATTTTTTGGGGTAACAGGTATAAATGTTGTAAAGTTAATGTATATGATTATACAATTTAAAAGTCAACTTCATAGTTTGTGATGGAACTATTGTTTATAAGCATTCTTTTCTACTCTGTGATAATTATTGAGTAGTAGATGAGCATGTTTCTCACTCTAGTGACCCTAAGTCACTTAAATCTATTCTTAATATTTTAATTTTCTAAATCATAAATTTGGAATAAAAGGGTTTTTTTTTTGCCATTTTCCAGTTTTATCTTCATATTATCTATGAAGAGTGAGCAGAAGAGGAATTACTCAGAGGTAACAGAGTTCATCCTGTTGGGATTTAACATCCCTCCCAAGTTTCAAGTGTTCTTATTTTTAATGTTTCTGATGATCTACATGGTCACCGTGGTAGGGAATGTCAGCATGATAATTGTCATTAAGATGGACTCCAGACTCCAAACACCTATGTATTTCTTCCTTAGAAACTTGTCTTATTTAGATCTCTGCTATTCCACAGTCATTGCTCCAAAAACCTTAGCCAACTTCTTGACAAGTGAAAAGAAAATTTCCTACAATGGTTGTGCAGCCCAGTTCTTCTTCTTTGCTTTGTTTGTTACAACTGAAGGTTTCCTTCTTGCTGTCATGGCATTTGATCGATTCTCAGCCATTTGCTCCCCTCTCCATTACCCTGTGCACATGTCCCAAAAGGTATGTGTTCAGTTGGTAACTGGCTCCTACATCTGTGGATGCATCAACTCCATAGTACAAACAGGTTTCACTTTTAGCTTGCGTTTCTGTGGAGAAAACAGGCTGGACCACTTTTTCTGTGATGTCCCAGCTCTGATTAAGATCTCATGTGTTGACACCTTTGTGAATGAGATTGTACTGTTTATTCTCTCTGCTCTCATCATCATCTCCACCACATCCATCATTCTGGTCTCCTATGGGTACATCCTTTCCACTGTCCTGAAGATCCCCTCCACCCATGGCAGGAGTAAGACCTTCTCCACTTGTGGTTCTCATATAGCAGTGGTGAGTTTATTCTATGGAACTGTGTTCTTCATGTATGCCCAGCCTGGGTCCATCTCCTCACCAGAGAAAAGCAAGGTTGTAGCTGTGTTTTATACACTTATAATACCCATGCTGAACCCTTTAATATATAGTCTAAGAAACAAAGATGTGAAAGATGCTGTGAAAAAAATATTAGGTGGAAAAAGTTCCGAGTGATATTTATGAATCCTTTATTTAGTGAACAAAATTTCTTTTTTAAGTTGTATATGACAACAAATATAATTTTATAAGTAATAATTCTAGTACAGATGCATAGAACATTATTTTTTTTGTACTGAATATAGGAAAGCAAATAACTTCTCACTTTATAATATAATTTCATTTGATTAAGTAGTAAATACGAAAATTTATTCTTATATAATTGTTAAAAAATATGCCATATATATTTTTACACTCTTTTTTGTTATAAGTTCTAAGGTATTGTGATAGTGGCTAAAATGAAAGCGTGATCATATCATACATTTTGGATGAAAGCTTATTGTGGCCCAAGTAGTTACATCTACATTCTAAGAACTATCACCTTTGGAGTTAAAAAAAAGCATATGTGAAGCATTTCTTCTCACAAATATGTGGCAATACTATTCTGTTAAACTGTATTTTCTCATTCTCCCTCTTAATAAAAAGTATTATATTAATTAAAATTCTGTACAGCTATTTTCTATTAATTTAAACATATCTTCTTGTGGAAAGGAGAGCAGCTCATAGGACTCTTACAGCAAAATGAAACTTAAATGACTCAGAAAATTCATGAAACTTAACAGGCTTTGAAAGACCGGGATTCCAAGGATATAAAACAGTAAACTACTGCTGTGGAGATAAGACTGTCTTTGGTGGAGCTGGCCACACATTAAGCAGAAAGGTGCACAAAGGTAACTTTCATGAGTTGTCAGTAAGAGTAGTTTGGATTTGGAGGTGATTTAGATACCTTTATGGCACCTATCATCCTATAAGTACCCTCCAATAAATTTATCGGTCTAACAAGCTAGATGTTGGTGGAAAAACTGGGATAAGTAGATATTTATTCATGTCTTCATGCTGAAGTCACACAACACAATTGGTACCCAAAGAGGAGCCAACCAATAGACCCAAGGATGAATTGTGAGAAACAGTTCTTTGGCTCCTGAGATAGATGACAAGACTTGTGATTAAGAATGACTTATCGGAGGGGGAAGTGTTCATTGGGGCAGTCTGTATATGTCTACAGTTCCCCATATGTTATAAAATGGTGTTCCTCTTTGCTTTTGTGGCAATTGGATACTCTTTGTGATGGGTGATATGTCATGCAACAAAGAATGATCCATCCAAGAGTGGAGTATAGTTTTAGTGGAAGTCCCATACAGTCATCCTCTAAGAAGAACATGGTGGCATGCCTCACTGATGAGTGGGAAACACTTAATAAGTACAGGAATAGCACCAAATGGGTGTGGACTACAGATTCTATTGTAGTTAATGAAAGCATGTAAGGAATGGGAATGTAACCAAACTCTGTCAATTATTTCATGGGCTTTACATGGACCTGAGGCAGAGGTCTGAAAAACTTAGCTATGTAAGAGAGGAATTACAGTAGGAAAAATGCATGAAGATGCTTAATCATTAGCTTGATATTTGTAAGGGAGTGTAATAAGAAAGAAAGATGAAAAGGGAGTATTTGTTTGTCATTTATTATAGCTATCATAATGCAAGGGCAAGATTGTACAAATTAGGAATGTATTAAAGATTCCTTCCTGGGATTCAAAGACTTAAAACTCACGGGAAGTACTTGACAGTGAGGAGAAAAAGCTGAAGTGACAGAGCATACCATTTATGTCTAATAATGATAGAAAATGTGATAATCATGGAGTATCTGAACTGCTTTAAATATGGAAGAAATAAGCCAAAAATGAAAGGGCCTTCTAATGCCTGTATTCTGAGGTTGGGGGACATAGGACTGAAAGGGACTCTAAGTGTTATGGAAGCAGAGAAACAGAGTAATATGTCTACCCTTCCTTCCTTGAGACAGGTTCCATAACCTGAAGCAGAGAAAGGGAACTCATTCCCTGACAGACTGGCCATAGGAGTCAAGGAACATTTGGTTATTTCTCTCTGAGGTCATGAATATAAGAAATTAGAGGACAAGAGAAGAAGAATCAGTGTACTGAGGTAACTGGATATGTATGCTGTAGCATTTGATGTTCAGTTCACAGAGGAGTTTTAATAAAGTAGTTTTATATAGAAGAGATCTTGGGACTGGTATTGAGTGTTAGTAGATTTGCTGAACTCAATAGGTGGGCATGATCTTTATGAAGTAGGAGAGGTTCTGAAGATCATGGGGCAAAACAGATAACAACAGTGCTCATCTAGGTCTCTTAAAGGTAAATATGGAAAGATTCTCATTTAGCAAGATGTCCTAGGGAAAATACAGGCAGAGAGCAAAGTCATTGAATTTATGAATAAAGCCCAGCAACTGTTCACATAAAAAACAAAGGGCATAATAGTACAGCCTACAAAGATTAGACAATTATCTTTCCCCAAAGAGTACACTGTGAACACATCTCCCAAGGTAAAAAAAAAACAAACCATATTGGTGGCTGAGAATGTTCACCTAACCTGGAGCACCTTCAGCAGCTGTGTGTGGCCAATGGAGAGGTAAGATTGTAGCCCTGCTCCTCTCTGAGATTTAGGTTTCCTGAGTAGAGCAAGGTGGCCCAGCCTAGACCACTAGGAATAAAAAGATGTGCAGTGATCCTACAGCAATAGTCAAATCCCAGGATGAGGACAGTATAGTGATCACTGAAAATGACTCTAGATTAGGGAGTGCCAGATGTGGTAGTATACCCCATGTATGCTGATGACCCCCAACATTGATCTTTTGAATAATGTTTCACTCAAGTTGTCTTTCATGCTGTACCGAATCATGCTAATATTTTATCTTATTATTTTATTACCTACTGAATACCCAAACCAATCGGAAGTTGAAAGGGAAGATAAAGAATTTTTTAAGAATACTGTTTATTCTCTTTTAAATTTTATTTTCATTGTATGTTATCCTTTGAATGTCATATGAATTTGGAAGCTCCTGGAAGGACATAAAATAATTGAAGAGTTTTAACAAAGGCACCATACATATGTGTGTGTGTGTGGTGGGGGGAAGGACTCTGAGGAGCCATAATGTTGTTAGATGAAAACCTCAGTGCTAGGGTGAGCTACCTCACCTTAGGGAGACCTCCCAAACCTTAAGGCTATTGTCACTGCTGTTGACTCCATGCCAGAACAATAGAGTAAGTCAATATTGTTGAGGATACTGCAAGCTTTGGTTGCAGGGCATGCAGAAATCAAACTGATGGAGGTGGGTGGTATCTGCTAGCTGACTTCCTTAGTTCCAGAATGTACTTTGTTCATTGTTGGGGATTAATTTTCACTCACAATCCTGATCAGTTATGGACCCTGCATGCTACACTGCCAACATGTCAGGCAAGAGAGATCAATGGTACATTATTGGCAAATTATTATGGATTAAGCAAACTGCTTTATGATTAGATTCAAATCCTGCCTCATAGATATTGTAAGACAGGACAAAAATCTTTGAATGCCACAGTGACAAGAATACAGCTATTGTTTTTTGAAAAATAGGTATGGTGTGCTTGTCAAACTGACCTGTAAACATTTGTGTTTGTGCCAATAGATTCCAGTTATTTTTAGCCTTGATAAAGTACTTATTCAGTGAGAGGTGGTTACTGCAATGATTCCTAACTGTTCAAGCTCTTGGAAAAAAGTGACTCTGTGTTATAGGAAGTAAGTTGCCTAATGTTCAAGCACTAATGGAAGAAACTAACTTGGTATCTTATGTCACATTGTCAGGGTTCAGGGACCATCATGCCTGAGGAGTTTTCAGAAAAGAATATAAGAGCTAGAGGAAGACATTGATATTTCCTTTGAATTGAAACATTTCCTCATGGAGGGAGGAAGGAGCTTCATAAAAGGAAGCTAAACAAAACTTCCAATGCTCTAAAATTTCACAGAATTTATTATGTTCATCAAGTGTAGAAAATTACAAAATTCAAAAGGCCCCTCCCTGAGGTTATATAACTAGTGAGGGTTGCTGGCAAGGAGAGAGTCTCTGGTGGGTTTACTGGAAAGGAGGTTCAGACACAAAGGTTTCATGATTTGTTACTATGATGGGTTACATTTTAGCAATGAATCTGCCTTTGAGTCACCCATCATGTTGTAATTAACCCCAATGGACACATTGGTCACCCAAGCCAGACTCAGGTGGAAACTTTTCATTGGTCTCTCCCCAGTACCATATCTGGCATGAACAGACATTTGTTTGTATCTTCCCAGGAGAGGATGGTTAACAAATAAAAAATAACCCTATATAAACACCTTATATGTACCATACAGTCTTGACCATCATTTTTCTAAAGGAGGAATTTGTAGCACTAGACACTGAAGAATCTTGGTTGACCCAAACATCTGAATGGATCTAGAAATTTTATTAGCCAAATACATAGCCCAGTGCCTGTGGAACAGTTAAAAATGTAATCACACATACTAGAGACAATAATTGTTGAATTCTGTTATAGATATGTAGCCAGCCCTGGGACATAACATATTTGATCTTTCTGTCATTATTGTTATAAGTGTTTTTTTTATTTTAACCAATTTTGGTTATGAAACAGTATAATGTTTTTTAAACTTATACATTACAGTTATTCCTGTCATCCTTTCATGTTTATTTTCAATTGTCAACTTGGTAGGATCTGCAGTCACCAGGGAAGTGAGTCTCAATGCCCTCCTTGTACAGATTCCATTGGCCAGTGGACATGCCTGTGTGTGATTTTCTTAACTAAGTTAATTTAAATGGGTGGACTCATACTAAAAAGGGGTGAAAATATTTTATGGGCTGGGTCCTGGACTGACTGAAAAGGAAAGGGAGGTCTAAGGATAAGGATTCATTGCTCTCTGATTTTTTACTATGAATGAAATATAACCAGCTACCTCAAGTAGCTGCCACTGTGGTTTACCAAAAATGATGGTTGGTAACCTGGAAATATGGGCTCAAATAAATCTTTTCTGTCCTATGCTGATTTTTTCAGAGTATTTTATTATAACTACAACAAAAGAAATAAAACACAGACTTAATTTATACTCTCTCTCTGTCTTTCTGTCTCTGTCTT